TCACCTGTAGCAATTTAACAAAACAATTTACACAAAGGAATTGTTAGTCTACCTTAGGATTAAATAAACCAAAGATACTAATTAATTTGCCAGGTATTATTTAGTTAATTAACTGCTTCTCTTCAGCAACCACATCAATATTTCTTTCTGGCCTGTTCTCATTTTGCACAAAGATCAAGTTTAAATCAAAGGACAGTAACACCTGTAACATACTGTTCCTCAGCTTCATTCTACTCCTGCCTATGCCTCCACCTACACTCCATATTGACAACTTCTTCCCTGTCATCAAAAATTAAGCATGTATCCCACTTGCCTGTTTTCACCCTATCCCTATTAGACAGGCAGCGAACTGAAGAGTCAATCAAGACTTTTGCCATGCCATTAAACGCAACATCGTGCCTTCCTTCGGCTACTGAGCTTTATTCCTCAATTCAGCCTTTCATATCTCTCCCCAGAATAAGTTAAGACAATTCCTCCGCTATATACTATTCATCTTGTTTTCTAATATAAACTTTTAAATCAACACAATACTTTATGAACCTGAGCTATGACAATGACATGGCTTAGCCGTATCCCCACCGTTCTCCATCTTTTGTTAATAATTGTAGAAAATTCATATTCAAAAAGATGCTTCAGCACATAACTAATGTTAAGTCAACAGGAATGACTAGTTGGGCTTAAAATTAAATTAAAGACCTTGCAAGATTTGGTTCATCCTCAAGTGTGGTTCTGTGGTTCTAAAGTGTGGTTCTGATTATCCTGCTTGCTTTACTCTTGCATGTAGTCCCAGTCAATTTCTTAGGAATAACTACAGTAGGAATATAATTGCAGAACTTAAAGTTTTAACCACAACTTTAAGAAGAGGAACCATAACTTCCGTTTCTCAAGTGTCTAAAGTCAGAGACAAAATATACGTTGTATAAATCAGGAAAAAAAAAGAGCATTTCTAATTTAAAAATACATTGTGTTCAGGAAAACATTCTATAAACTTACATCTACTTTCTTTTGTCGATTTAAACTTCTTACAGCTTTCCTAGCTAGATGAAGTGCATGACTGTCATCCAAAGCATAATGATCTGTTACACCAGATTTTCTGTACACAAATAATAACATGAACATCAAGATTTAAAAACAATATAAAAAAATTATACAAAAACGAAAATGAAAGTTTTTAAAGACTTTTAAGCCTATCTATTTAAAAAAAGAATGCTGAAACACAGCTCTCCATGTTAAGTTATGAAATTACTTTAACAACAACCACACATCTGAACTTTTCTTTTAAACAGGTCACTCAAGTTAGCAGAAATAAGGCAAAATAGCAACTCTAGGAAGTCAAAAATCAAAACGACAATTTAAAAGATGCCAAGCATTGTTCAAACAGAAATTAAATTTCATTTGAAATTATAAAGAAAAACATATGTTTACAACAATATCATGAACTGCCCTGAAAAATAATTCTTTAGTCACTTCAGTAAATTAAAGAACACACTAAACATTTTTTCTACAGTAATTCCTAAATTTGTTTAATATTGTTTTAATTTGTAAAAAGCATGTAGGGATCTTCACACAGATAAGAAATATTCTCTTAGAAAAATCATAGGCACTTTTGATTTTGCTTGCGGTTAAGTTCCATTTGACAGTAAGAAAGACACAATCTGCAAAAATATATCATCTTTCTCGAAATTTATTATTCTAATAACAATCAGCATTAAATAGTATAGAAAAGTCCTCTGTATTGTACATGATACTGTATTACATTAGGTAGACGCTTAAGTATTTTAAAGGAATGAAAAGAAAAAATCCTAATTCAGATAACACACTAACTACACCACACTAATGACAAAGCGATTCACCAGTACCAGATTTTGATATAGAAAATCTTTCTTTTAAGCCCAACTAAAATCTAAACGGGGGGAAAAAAAACAACTCTGCGGAAAAAAATTTTTTTTGAACCTGCAGTGAAGATCAGCCCCTCCAAGATCCTCTGCTGATACCTCTTCACCTGTTGCTGCTTTCACCTACAACCAAAAAAGACAGACAAGGATTAGATTTGGCACTTGTCTTGCATTACTACTTCTACAGGCTTAGCAATAGTAATAGAAAAGTTATTTGCAAAACGTTTGTTCTTTAATAAGACTTCTTCAGTTACTCTCCCTCATAGCGTTCATAGTGTGGAAACACATAATCGTTCCAAAAATGCTTAAATCATTGTCTTTATATCTTTACTATCTACTATTTTCAGGTCGCTTTTATTCAGAAATATTTTCCATTCACTGCTATGTTTGTATGTATGTGTTATGTGTGTGTACATATCCATCCAACCTTGATATTTACAAAAATGCATTTTCACAAAAAGGTGTTTTAAATGGGTTAACTGACTACTGTCATAAAAATATATACTCCTCTTTTTTTTATTTCAACAAAATTAACAAGGCAATTCATGCATGATACGCCGCTGCATTGTTTCAAATGAAAAAAAAAAAACAATATAAACTTAGCATTCTTGTAAGTCTGCTCTGCTTTCTCCACATAAACTCTTCTTTTACAAATTTTAACTTCTTCACCATAAAACAATCTGTATCAGTCTGAATTTCCTAAGTCTTCCATTACACCCACAATAATTTAATAAGAAGCATTTTCTAAAAAGAGTGCACTCATGACATACAACTATTTGGATCAAGTAGGATGTCTCCACAAAAATAATTGGAATGCATGATGCAAATCTTAGAGCTGTCAAATCTTAAATCTGACAGGATAATTTAAGTGACTGGATTTCTTCTTAAAATAAAGCAGTATCATTTACTGCATGGCAAACATTTTTGAAGCATTTTTTGAACCACTGCCTCTTGTCCTGCCATGGCGTACCACTGAGAAGAGTGCAGCTCCATCTTCTTCACCCACCCCAGGTATTTACATGCACTGATCAGATCCCTCCTGAGCTTTCTCTTCACCAAGCGGAACAGCTGCACTCTCTCAGCATCTCTCCGTATGTCAGACACTCCAGTCCCTCAGTCATCTTTGTGGCCCTTCACTGTACTCACTCCAACAGACCCACATCTCTGTTGTACTGGGGAGCCCAGCACCAGACAGAGCACTGCAGACACGACCTCACCAGTGCTGAGTACAGGGGAAAGATCAGCTCCCTCAGCCTGCTGGTGTCACTCTTCCTAATGCAACCCAGGAGGCAGCTGGCCTTCTTTACCGCAAGGGCACATTGCTGGCTCACGTTCAGCTTGTTGCCCACCAGGACGTCCAGGTCCTTTTCTGCAAAGCTGCTCTCCAGTCAGACAACCCCCAACCTGTACTGGTGACTGGGGCTATTCCTCCCCATACGCAGGGATTTGCATTTCCCTTTGCTGAACTTCATGAGATGCCTGTCTACTCATACCCCCAGCCTGTTGAGGTTCCTCTGAATGGCAGCACGGCTATCTGGTGTATCAGCCACTCCTCCCACGTTTGCATTGTCTGCAAACTTGCTGAGGATGCGCTCTGTCCCATCATCCAGGTCATTAATGAAGATGTTAAACAGAAATGGCCCCAGCATCAACCCCCAGACACCACCAGTGACTGGCCTCCAGCTGCTCTTCATGCTGCTGATCACAACAGTTCCCCTTTGAGCACAACAGTTCAGCCAGTTTTCAGTCCATTTATTAGTCTATTTATCTAGTCCATACATACTTCATCAGTTTGTAGAGCAATGGTATAAGTTAAGAGAGGATGGTACGGCTGAGAGGCCTACAGGTCAACAGGGCATCCTGAGCTCCCAAGCAGCATTGCCAAGGGTGGGGATGTCTATTCCTCAGTTTGAGAGCGCGCAGAGGAACGTCCTTGCGACGTTACTACTACTGCAGCAACACTTCTCCTCCTAGTATTTCTACCATGGTGAAATCTATCTGCTCATAAAGTCTTTCTAAAAGGAGCAATGAGGAAACTTGCACTTTAGACTCTGGAATGTATGTGCATTACACTTCTTTAGTATGCACACATCTCAAGACTGATTCTATCTAGCATCAGGTTTTTTTGTTTGTTTCCTTTGGTTGGTTGGTTTTAGGCAGCTGAACACTAAAACCCAGACCAATTTTCTTCAGCAAGGATGTTTTGGGGAACAGAGCATACACAATAATGCTACAATATCTGCTACAACAGGGAATGGATGTTTCTATGGGAGTTCAAACTAATTTTGATGCTTAGAGAAAGGCAAGCAAAATATTTTGAGTGAAAATACGAGAAGCTCTACTAAACAGAACGCTGACAGGTAGAGACATATTAAAGTTTGATCTATACACACAAAGATAAAGATCATTACATCGGCAGGTTGCTAAGGAACAGATGAAATTGGAGGATAGTTGTAAGATTCAGGAATCTTCTTCTGGAAGCAGCAAAAAGCTTTCTTCATTTCTGACGCTGCAGTATCCTTGCCGTCATTGACTTGCCTAGCCAAATTCTCTCCGAGACTTAATTCAGGACACCTTTTTTCAGCTGTCTATCCTGGCAAGAGTCTCCTGCACAACTTCTACATCTCAAGTGATAGACACGTAAAACTTCAATTCCCTCGCAATGTTAGATTATTCTCCTCTTAGAACGAGCGAGCACGATTCCTTCTTTCCAGCTTCCTAGCCAACTTGCTAGGTAGCACTGCGTTCTACCAGTCCTAATTTGTACTTGCTCCATGCTGGAGCTTGAGAGAAACCGGCTTCGAGTAAGCTCTCCCAGAACACATTACTGAACAGGTCAGTGCAGGCCCACCCAAGGAGTCTCACAGGAGTCAGCCTGGGTCTTGATGTACCTTTATAGTGCTGTCTTAGCTCCAAGCAGAATCACTCAAGGTGCACCACATCAGCACTCTC